GTCCCTTTGTAGCATAATACTAAAATTTCAGGTAAGTCTAATATGATTATGAAAAATTCTCCCTAAGAAAATAGGAGATGGAGAGGTAGTGAAAGCAGTTTTTTGTTGTCGTACATTCACTATAATGCTTGAGATTTAGGCAGGGTTCTGTGTGCTTTACAAATAGGAACTCATCTTTATGATAACTCTATGAATTACACTTCTATTCTGATCTTTTTATGGACAGGACATTAATCTGAATGCTACTTGCCCTTAAGTCACATAGCAAGTAGGTGTCAGAGTTAGAATTTAAAGCATGTATTCTGACTCCCAAGACTCTGCCCAAAAGAGCTGTTGGCGACCTCTGTGATAGTATCTTTGCTTCTCAGAGAATTGCTGTAGAGCAGAAGTGCTGGGGCAGTCTTTGGGATATGTGAAAACCCTTTAATTGTGGGTCAGAGGGTTGCAGATGCATTTTTCAGCAGGACAGTTCCTAACTTCCAGCTGTTTACCAAGGTCCAGAAGGCAGCCTCTCGGTTTAGCATGCTGACCTAGAGGAGCATTACATGCCCTCCATTGCTAATGGGCTATGATTAAAATAGTGACCTCAGCAGAATAAATGTTTACAGAATCATTCAGGCTTCTCTGTTGTAAAATAATTACTTACGTAGTTGGTCTTCCTAGGGACCTTATCCAGAATATGCATGATAGGTCCCAGATGCAGAGGTAATTTTTGTCTAGAGTGGATCTCTGGTATCTGTTGTGAAAAACCTGTGAAGATGATTCTGATTAAAAACTTTTGGTTAAGAACCACTCTCCCCTGAGAAGATGAAGGTTATATTTTCTCTTAGCTTTGATTGTATTATAAATACTTGGAACATGGTGAAATGTTTAAATTGATGGCACAGTGTGAGAGAGATTATTGCTTTATAGTCAAGGATGATGATAATAACAGTCACTAGTATTCATGAGACTTTCATGTGACCCACCAGCAGCCCACTTCATTTCTCCAGTTTTTACTACAAAATGTCCTTTACAGAGCCTGGTACTGTCTTGAGATCTTCTTGATGCTCTAATTTGAAATAAGAGTCTCTTTTTCTTTAATTCTTCTGCTGAGTGTCAGATAAGATTAGAGTGTTCTTCTTTCCCAGAAGCCCACAGCTGGTTTTAAGTCTCTGGAAGTGATGCTTTAGTGTACCTTAAAGAATGCTCAAATCCATTTCTTGACATTAGTTACTCTAACTTACTAGGCACAGGCTTTCTGAGAATCATACTGTCTAGCATTTTAGGCATCAGGCAGCATGATGTAGGTCAGAAACTTCTATGCTTGGTAATTGGCAGGTTAGAAGCACAGCTTACCATTCTGAGATCAGAAAGCCTGTATCAGGGAGGCATAACCTCATCATTGTGGAGGAGGAAGTAAAGGTTCTTTTAAGGTCAGGTAGACAAGTTATAATAAATGTAAAGGACTGCAAATGCTCCCAAAAGATGTTTGGGTCTCATAGCCACGGTGTTGTTGAAGGGATAGATACGTGGTTAGGGTAGAAAAGGGGGGAGGAAGAATAATGGTACTTGAAAGTACTTTTTCCCTTTGCTGTTTCGGTTCTTTGGGTTTTGTTCTTTGTTTTTGTTTTTGTTTTGTTTTTGTTTTTTAAGACATGATCTCTGTAGCACATGCTAGCTTAAACTCACAGTGATCCTCCTGCATTAGCCCCCTGAGTGTTGGGATTACAGGTGTGAGCTACCACACTAGTTTTCTTTACTTTTTTAGAGCAGAATGAGGAAGAAATAGACGTGGTTACTGATCATAGAACTTGCCCAGAGAAATGTCTTCCTGCAGTGCCAAGAGCATAGGTAGGAAAATGACTGGTGACAGAAACCAGTGGGAGGTGATGGCTTAGAGCAGCCCTCCTCCTACTCCCTCTTCCTACTGCATGTGTCTATAATCTGCTGCAGTAGAATCTTCTTGTTCTTGAACATACAGCAGTCAGTATTGCCCCAAATAAAAGTACCTGGTATAGCTTATTTAAAAGCAGCATACTCTGAATTGAGCACACCACAGTAAGATCAAGCCCAGAAGTTTATATTGTGAGAGGAAAATTCATCTCTTCGCTTAAATGCTTTTCCTTATAACCATCAGGTTTACCAGTGCTCACCTTGACCCAATAAGCTATATATAGTCATATATATATGTGTGTGTGTATATGTATGTATGTATGTATGTATGTGTGTGTGTATATTTATATTAGGAAATAAGTTTTACCCATATCTTAAAAATGATATGAGACAGTAGGGCCTCTATTTTTGAAAAGGAAAAATCATAATCAAAGGTTTAAGGTTGTGCTGGATAGCCTTAGTGTCAACTTGACACACCTGAGTTGAGGGAGCCTCAATTGGGGAATTGCCTCCATTGGACTGGCCTGTGGCCATGTCTGTGGGGCATCTTCTTGATTGTTGAGTAATGTGGGAGGGCCCAGCCCACTGTGGGTGATGCCACCCCTGGGAAGGTAGGCCTGTGTTGCATGAGAAAGCAGGCTGAGCAGGGGCCAGGGGAGCAAGCCAGTAAGCAGTGTTCCTCCATGGCCTATGCTCTAGCTCCTGCCTCCAGGTTCCTTCCCTGAGTTCCTACCTTGAGCTCCCTGATCAACTATGACCCGGAAGATGTAATATAAAATAAACCCTTTCCTCCGCAAGTTGGTACTGGTCAGAGTATTTGTCAGAGCAGTTGAGAAACAAACTAGAACAAAGGTCATGCAAATTTAAGTTTGAGTCACACGTAGTCTTTGTGACCTGTGTTGTTTTGTTTTGTTTTCCTTTAGTTTTCTAATCTGTAAAATAAGAAGGGAATGATAACCTGCTTTGTTTGGAATAGCTATGAAGAAGATTAGAAATATCATTGGGAGAGAAAGCTGAGGGGATGGCTATGTCAGTAAGAGGACCCGAGTTCAATCCCTAAAACCTATGCAGAAATATTGCAAGATGTTGTAGCACACATATGTAATCCTAGTGTGGGAAGGCAGAAATGGGATCCCTGGGGCTTGCTGGCTGTCCTCTGTAGCCTAATTGGTGAGTTCCAGGCCAAGGAGAAACCAGAGTTTCTGGAGATGTTACCCAAAGTTGTCCTCTGGCCTCCACACACATACATATATGTATATATGCACCCACATGCACATGAACATACACAAATGGATCTAAAAAAATATATCCTTAGGGGCTGGAAAGATGGCTCAGCAGTTAAGAATACTGGCTGCTCCTCCAGAGGATCCAGGTTCAGTTCCCAGCACCCACATGGTGGCTAACAAATCATCTATAATTCCAGTTCCAGGGAATCTGAAGCCCTCTTCTGGCCTCCACAGGCATTGCATAATGGATGGATGGATAGGGAGATAGATAGACAGGCAGGCAGGCAAGCAGGCAAGCAGACAGACACTCTTAAAAGATAAGATAGAAATATATTTCCTTAGTGGGAACTTAGTAAGTGGTAACAACTACTGTTAATAATCATGGAAACTATCCACCTAAAATTTTTCTTTTTCAGCTGGGTGTGGTGGTGCACACCTTTAATCCCAGTAGTCAGGAGGCAGAGACAGAGGGATCTCTGTGAGTTTGAGGCCAGCCTCATCTTCATAGCAAGTTCCAGGTCAGCTGGATGAGAAGACCGTGTTTCAAAAAAAATTTTTTTTTCTTTTTCTATTTTTTTATTAATTCCTTGAGAGTCTCATACAAGGTATTTTGATCATATTGCCCCCTCTCCCAACACCTCCCAGATCTACCCCCACCTCCATACCCTGCCACCTTCATGTTCCCCACCACCCCAATCCAGTTTGTGTCACTCAAATATTCTTAAGAGTCGTACCAGCTCTGGAGCATGGTTAACCTAATAGTAGCCACACTCTTTTTTAAAATATTTTATTTATTATTTTTATTTTTATGTGTATGTGTGTATTGCCTGCATGTAGATAAGTGCACCCGTGTCATGCAATGCCCTCAGAGGTCAGAAGAGGCTGTTGGATCCCCTGAGACTGTAGTTATGGACAGTTGTTAGCTGCCATGTGGGTGCTGGGATTCAAACCCAGGTCTTCTGCAAAAACAACCAATGTTCTTAACTGCTGAGCTATGTCTCCAGTCCAACAGTGGCCACACTCTTAAAGAAAACTGGCGAGTCCTCTCTCAATAGCTATCTTATGCTGATAGCTCCTTATTTAGTGATGGAACTTGATCCTCATCCCTCCAACACACACACACACACACACACACACATGCACGCACGCACATGCACACGCATTTACACACCATACTTGGATTTTGCCTGACTTGAACTTTAGCAAGTCTTGTGCGTGCTGGCACAACTGCTGTGAATTCATATATGCAGCTTCCCTGCTGTCTGGAAAACAGTTTCATTTCAGTCACCACCACCTCTGGCTCTTACACTCTTTCTGCCCTCCCTTCCTCAAGGATCCCTGAGCTTTGGGGTGAGGGGTGTAATACACCTCTCCATTTAGGGCTGGATACTCTGCAGATTCTTATTCTCAGTATGTTGACCATTTGTGGTTCTCTCTGATAATTTCCTTTACTGCAAGAAGCTTCTCTGATAAAGATTGAAAGATGTACTAATCTATGAGCATCTAAAACATTTTAATAATCATAGAGACTGAGGCAACAAGATGACTTAGAAGGCAAAGGCATTTTCCATCAGCCTGATGACCTGAGTTTGATCCCCAGGACCTGAATGGTGGAAGGAGAAAACCAACTCTCAAAAGTTGACTCTGGTTTTCACATGTGTACTGTAATTATGTGTGTGTTAAAGGGTATGTCATAGTCCTGAAGAGAGATTGGTTGTAGTTGGTCACAGTTATGTATCAGTGAGTAAGTAGGGGTGTACTTTGCTGGTGTGTCTTGATTTGGGGAGGAGACATTCACTGACTACAGTAGGGAGGTGGACTTCTAGACACACACCTGTTCTTTTCCTCCTGCCTGGCCTCCTTATTATGTCCTCATTTTTCCATTTGCTTTCCTGGCAGGTGGCTGTTAAAAACAACATTGATGTCTTCTACTTCAGCTGCCTCATCCCACTCAATGTGCTTTTTGTAGAAGATGGCAAAATGGGTAAGCATATCCTCCTGCCCTGCTAGATTCGCCCTTCCTCTGAGTGCCAGGCAAAGCATAGCCCTACAGTACAGATCATTTTGAAATTTGACAAACAGGGTTAGGGTAGTCTAAAGCCCTAATATTCTTTTTTTTGTCCAGAGTCACTGTTGGTTTTGCTTTGCCATTTTCTCCAAATCTTAGTGCCAGTTATCTGAATAATCCCATCACCCCAACATACAAAGTAAGAGGTTTGGGGACCAGATAGATGTGAATTCAGTCTTTGCTGTTTATTAACTGTTTAATCATGGGCAAGACACTTAGCCTTTGTTTCAGCTTCCACTTTTGCAAAATGGAAGTCATTTTTATAATAAATTAATGAGGTAGTATGTGTATATTTAGCAGTTAGGCTGCACACGGTTCATACTGCCTTATGACAACAATTCAGTAACTTGTAGTAAACCATTAGTCCCCGCTCCCACCCCAATCTAGCTATTGACTTTCTCTTTTCCTTACTTAATCACCACCATCCAATAGAAGTAGCTTACATTGATATACATTAAACTGTGCTGGCACTTAATGGATTTGATTCTCACAGTGACTGTTTGAGTAGTCAGGACAGAAGTAATCATATGTGAAGAACTTAAGGTCACAAGTGTTGCCCAAAGTTACCCACATAAAGAATACAAGGGAACCAAAACTAAACTCTGAATGTCGACTTTTTTTTCCACTTGTCTTAATTCAGTCAGTAAGGAATAAAGGACTAATTGGCTTAATACATTTTTTTTTTAAAAAAAAAAAGGCTCCAGTCCTAGCCTGCTTCTAGCATGCAAAGGAAAAGTGATGGAAAGCATCAGAAACTGACATACCATATACATGTCTACCCTTCCCCTCTGCTTCCCTGTACAGAGCGCCAGGTCTTCCTTGCCACATGGAAGGATATTCCTAATGAAAATGAACTCCAATTTCAGATTAAGGAATGTCATTTAAATGCTGGTAAGTAATAACTCTTAATTCATTTTACTAAGTCAAACTAAATGCTTGGAAGTCTTCTTTCCTGTTTTTTCCACATCTGACATGATTCTGGGCATATGTTACTTTGCAAATCTCTCTTTAAAAAGTTGGGATATGGGCTGGCAAGATGGGTCAACCATTTAGACACTGGCTGCTCCTACAGAAAACTTGGGATGGAATCCCAGCACCTTCATGGCAGCTAACAACTGTCTGTAATTCCAGTTCCAGGGGATCTGGCGCCCTCTGTCCTCTGTAGGCACTACATGGCACAGGTACACTTACATATAATTAAAATAAAATAAAAAACCTTGGATATTAGCCAGATCTGGTGGTGCACCTGTAATCCTAGCATTCAGGAAGCTGAGGCAGAAGAATTACAAGTTCCAGGCCAGCTGTGTCTACATGATGTCTCTTGGGATGTTTTGATGTAAGGTACTAGATTACTTACAAGCTAAAAGATTTAAGATACAAACTAGCCCTAACATGCACAAGGCTCTGGGTTTCCACATCACAAAATATAGGGGAAAAAAAAAAAAAGATCTCTACACTAGTTCTTGAGTAGTTGAAGAAGTAATGTTAATCATGTCACTTAAATATCCCAAGCATTGAGTAATTGAGGAGAGATACCCTCCTAAGAATTGGAAGACTGTTTCATCTTTCATATCAGCTTTTGTTAATTAGGGGTAAGGATCTGAGATCTGTATTTAGAACTCTGTTGATAATTAAAGCATGCATCGTGGTTGATTAAAGGCTAACCGATAACCTTTTTTGTTTCTCCCTTTAATTGACTTTGATGTAATGATGTTAACCTTTTTAATCACCATTAATCCCTAAACCCTTTTGTAGTTAATTTTGTTGCTATAGTAAAACATAAAAAGAGGTGACCCAGGAGAAACAATAGCAGCTGTCAGTCCCTAGGGCCTTGTTTCACTGGCAGGTTTGCTGCTCAGAACCCTGGCTTTTGTACCAGTCTCTCTTTCACCTCCCACTCAGTAGCTCCTCCTTCCTCATCTATCCATCATTCCTTCCTCCATACTTTGGTGGTCTTCATGAGGGGTTTTCAGCACATTGCCATTCTCCAGTGCAGTTGGAGCAGAGCATTGGGGAAAGGAAAGAGAATGCACTACAGAAAGAAGTTCAGCTTTTTGAGTGTGTGTGTATATGTATGCTTTGTTTTTTTCTTTTTGAGACAGGGTCTCCCTGTAGCCCTGGCTGGCCTGGCACACGCTATATAGACCAGGCTGACCTCCATCACATATCCACCTGCCTCTGCCTCCCAAGTGATGCGATTAAAGGTGTGCGCCACTATACTTGCCCCTGTGCCGACTCTTTTAAATGGGCTGGTCCACTCTTCCTTCTCTGAGACATTCAGGAGGCTCAAGCCTTTCTTGAACCTTCACACATAAAATAGAGACTAGTATCTCTATCTGAAACTTCAGACAGAGCTTGGCTCTGATAAGGATTGTGTCACATCTCCTTGACCTTTGGAGAGGTGTTTAAGGAGAGAATCTTCTATAGTTTCTGTTACCATTAGTGAATTATCTTCATTTTGTGTACTCTTAAGTAGATGATAGTGTTATCTGTCCCTTCTTCTGAAGTTTGCTGGACAGTTATAGTGAGCCTTATTTGGTGAGCACCTGTTGGGCATGTTTCCAGAAGGAAGGAAGCAGGAATCTGGCTGCATGATCCATGGAGCTGGTGGTGAGAACCAGAGCATGTCCATCAGAGAAGCAGCCTCTGTACTCCACGTGGCAGAGACAAGGATATGTTACCATCATCCTTGTGGCAATTGGTTCAGTGGTATATACCTAAGAACATTTGTTCCTCAAAAAAAGGTGGGGAAGTTCCTCTGTGGTGATAAAAGTTAGAAAATGCAACAAATAGCATGCCTGTCTTAGAAGTTGCTACTGTGTCTTCACACACTAAAAGCTCTGATAAAGAACCTCTTTAATTCAATGTTAAATGGTTCTATTTAATTATAGAAATAAAAACACAAGTACTGCTAACATCATATGGAACAACATGGTTTTAGAAAACTGTCCTATAGGAAGCAGGAAAAGGCCTGAGTAATTGGGAAGCAGTTTAGGTTTCAGAGGTCCAATGTGAAAGGGGCATGCTTTTTTCTTGTTAGAGAATTGAAGCTTGGGTGATTGAGGACTCAGTCTGGCCTGCCAAAGTAATGGAAAAAGAACCCCAGTTGCACCTTCGTGTGTGCGTGATCTTGCCCAAGAGGCAGGGTCTGGCCTTTCTCCCATCAGGGCTGTTGTTTCCTTTGATGTCGTCCTCAGTGCAGATTCTGTTCCGATGAATTCTGCCATCGCCTCATGCCAGTCTCTCCTGCCTTAGGAGAATTGGTTTTCTAGTGGCACCACCATTCCACGGCGGTAGAGCACATGGAACAGAGAAACAGCCAGTTCATTTTCTCCAACTGCCCCAGGCCATCATTTCCTCACACTAAATTACTACTAATCTTGCAAGCCCACTTTGTATAATTAATCCCTCCTTAACTCTTCCTTTAACTCCACCCTGATGTCTGGAGTGTCTTGGCCTTTACATTTCCTTCCAGTCTTGAAGACTCTATTCAGGAACATATGCAGGTTTAGGGCCTTCTGATTCAACACCCTGTGTCTAGCTAAGAGCTAAAAATACCATTCTTTCCAGCTGATCTTCCCTAATCACAATAGCACCAACACTTAAAATAGCTTTTCTGTGCTAGCAAAGACATTTGACAGATGGAATGAGCACTCAGGGATACAGGAAGTCACAGCCTTAAAGGACTTGCTAACCTTGCTTTGAGCTTTTCCTTTTCCTCTTTCATCTCTTTCTAGAGAAGAAAGAAACCTTCCCACATCTTAATAATTAATCAGATCTACATTATAAAGATATATATGATAGGATTCAAACACCCAGATCCAAAAAGCCAAATTTATAAAAGGAAACAAATGACATAGAAGAAATTACATCTTGAAGCAGGTATAATCATATTTGACCATTTTCTTACTTTGGCACAGACCTCAATGTCTTATGCCTGATCTACCGTGGTTAGCACACACTGAAACAATTAAGGGTACTTGCTCATTCTCAAAATCTCATAGCTGCAAGACTCTGTTTCTCAAGGAGTTCAGGGATGTAAAACAAAAAACAAACAAACAAACAAAAAAAAAAACCCAGGATATTTTATCAAGAAGTCTATTCCAGTCTAACTGGGAAGCCTCCTATGTGCAGAGGTTGCAGGTATGTACCCTATTCACTACCATGCCACCCTGGATCCATATACTTAGCAAAATAATTATCCTTCAGTCCTCAAATCCTCAAGCTCAAACCTAAAATCTAAAATGTATAAGACTCGGATATAATTCAGCAGTAGAATGCTTGTCTAATACATGCAAGACACTGGGTTCAGTCATTCACACTGCAAAAATTAAAATAGGTCAGGTGTACATACCAGGTATATAGGTACATACCTATAATCCAGCATTCAGGAATCAAAGGCAAGAAGATGGCTAGAAGCCAGCCTGGCCTACACAACAAGGACTACATAATGAGGACCCCCCCCGCAAAAAAAAAAAAAAAAAATCACACCAATTTGTTTAAAATACAGCCTTCTGATAGAAATCACAATAAGCCATTCAGAACAAGCAGAGCTAGGTTCCTGGCCTATACAAATGCTGAAATTGTAAGAAGTCTGCAGGCATCTGGGGCATGATACTAGTATAAACATGTGTGTGCCTATGCAACAAAAAAACTCTTCAACAAAGGCTCCAGCTCTGCATGTTTTCTGTTCTGTAAAATAGGTAAAGGCTTTGAAAGTTAGAAGTACCTTTAACAACTTAAAGCAAGCCACCATGTGTTAAAGGCAATTCTGTCAAAAAGTATTAGCCAAATTCAGCTGGTAATGTTGCTTAGCAACCCATTAAGTTGCAAGTGCATTTCACGGTGGGAATGAAAGTAATAGCAGGAGCTGCCTGCCCCCTACATGGTGATTGCAAAGTGTATTGAGGCCTCTCCTCTGGCAATGTTGCATGGATCTACCCTGTGATAAACTCTCTCAGTCCTGGAATAAAGCCAATCTTAAGTTGTAACTACTTTTCTTTAATGTTAACGAAAATTTTAGAAATAAAAGACAAAAAGGTAAGTAATAACTATGATTTTTAAAAATATATTTAATGAATGAGACCTTAGTATCACCTCCCCCCAGAACTGACTTGAGTGTAGAAGGACATCAGAGTGAAAAATACCTCCAGAAGTAGCTCATATCTGAATAGATAAGGCAGTGGCTTTAGTGGCATCTCTGGCACCTAAGTCAATACCAAATGCAATAGCATATTTACAGATATTGATGACAGATACCTCTTGTCTGAGGTATTGAGGGAAGCCAGTAATAAATGCTTGAGGGTGCCTATACTGAGAACTTAACCATTTATTAGGATAGAAAGTCATTTATCATGCTTCCTTTTCCTAGAGAGCACACTAGAATATGACAGATTTTTTTTTTAATGTGGGAGAGTTTAGTTCCTGAAGTAGGCATGAGTAATTTGAGTTCTCATCAGAAGCTGACATAATAAAACAGTTAACAAAGAAGCTGTGTTTATTATGTCCGTTCTTAAAGTTTTTCTGTCTCTGATGCTATAGCGTCTCACAAAGAGAGAAATGATGACCTTTAATTCTTCTAGAACATCATTTTTTTTTTTTTATGTTGTAGTCATGAGAAAGCTTTAGACACCAACCCTGAGCTGGTGATTGCAGAGACTTCCAGCATGACCAGCATGGCTGCTGGTATTGAGGACCTAGCAGTAATCACCTGTGCACAGCTTCAGTATTATTTATTTATTTATTTATTTATTTATTTATTTATTTATTTATTATTGAGATAAGGTCTTGCTATCTAGCCTACACTGGTCTCAGTTCAGTGTCTTATTGGAAATACTCTGTTTCATTCTTTATTTGAAAACATGGTTTTCTCTAGGATCTTAAGAATTAGTGTCCCTGCTTTAGAAAAAATTCTTAAGCATTCAATTTAATAAGTTTGACTTGAAAAGACTTCTGCAACTCTTGCCCTATTCTAGAAACTTGAGACCCAAGTGACTCACAGTGAAGTGACAGTGACTTTGGATGTGTGCATTTAATCATCAGTCAATATATCCCCACTGATCCAGGACCAGGATTCCAGAAATGAATAGCAGCACTGCAGTCACAGTGGGATTCCCACACACCCATCTCTTTGTCCCCTTCAAAGCATTTTTGTCTGCTGTTGTGGTTAATATTGTCACCTGGGAGACAAGCCTTCAGACGTACCTGTGAGCACGGCAATGTGTCTAGATTAGGTTAGCCTCTGCATTTCTGTGAGGGATTGTCTAGAGGAGGTTAGTTGAAGTGGGAAGACCTACCTTAACTATGTTGTACCATTCCATGGAATGGAGTCCTAGACTTAATGAATAAAAAGGAAAAGGTAAGCTGAACACCAGCATTCACCTCCTTCTGCTGACTCTGGATGCAGTGTAATTAGCTGCCTATGGCTCTTGCTGCCATGACTTCCCCACCATGGTAGACTGTGAGCCAAAATAAACCTTTCCTTTCTAAAGTTTGGTCAGGGTGTTTTAGCATAGCAATGAGTAAAGTAATTAATACAAGTACTTTGATGATAGTAAATCCTTAGGCCTCTATCTACTGCATCTCTCTAGTGTTAGTACAGTCATTCCATTTTCTTCCTGGTAACTGGACAGGCAACCCTTCGTTTTTGCCTGTCAGTCTTAGAAGAACTTCCTGAATGTCCATGTACTGATACACATCAGGGATCTCATGCATCCATGGCTCATGAGGATATCAGAGAAAAGAATACATTTGTCTGATATTTAACTGAAAGTGTTGAGTTTGGAATCTGTCTTTCTAGACACTGTGTCCAGCAAGTTGCAAAACAACAATGTTTACACTATTGCCAAGAGGAATGTGGAAGGACAAGATATGCTGTACCAATCCCTGAAGCTCACTAATGGCATTTGGATTTTGGCTGAGCTACGGATCCAGCCAGGAAACCCCAATTATACGGTAAGGCCTTTCCCAGAATGGGTGAGATGGGTTAGAAGGCAGTAAGACTTAGGATACTACAAAGACCTGGAGGAGGTTAAAGACCTGAAATACTCAAAACAAGGTGTTAATGGAAGAAGACCTCCTCACTGTAGTATGTGCCCCACCCAAAAGGCCTGGTACTGTGGATATAGATCTATGGTAGTATATTACTACAAACACATATAGTGCCTCTGGCAGCAAGGAGTGCTGCAAATCCACTGCTGCCCCAGGCAAATGGAGTTGTTTCCCCTTCAGTCTTGGTTAATGCCTACCTCCTGTATCTGTGTGTGTTCTGTGCTATAATAAGCTGTTAAGAGGACAGGCATGGTGGTGGTGACTCACCCTTTAGTCCAAGCACTCAGGAGGTAGAGAAAGGAGGATTGCTGTGAGATAAAGGCCAGCCTGGGATGTTCTATATAGTGAGTTCTGGGCCAGCTGGGGTCACATAGTTAGACCCTGTCTAAAAAAACACACCTGTTAAAGAGTAGCATTTGTGGTGCTGAGAAGATGGTACAGTGGGTGAGCACACTTATTTCACAAGCATGAGGACCTGTGCTTGGATTCCCAACACCCACATAAAAGCTGGGCATGGCCACAGAGAAACTTCCTTTAGTACTACACTGAACTAAAGTAAAAATGCTGGTCTTTATACAGTAGAAACAGTTGCTTTGTTAAACAACAAAGATTGATACCTAAGCCCTGGTCCTTTTTGATAGATAAAGCCTGTGGATGAATCTAGCTGATCAGGAGAAAGCACCAGGACACAGATAAAACTCCATCAGAATAGAGTATATTAGCAAAGGAACACATGGGACAGATTCCCTTCCAGGCAGGGAAAATGTCTGCCCGAGTCCTGACCTGGGGACTTTTTAAAGGGGGAGGTTTCTGCTTCCTGTAGATGTTGGTGAAGGGGCAGGGCTATCTGAACCTTAACACTTTGGCTGATACAAAATGTGATCTCCCAATAGGGGCTGCTTGTGATATGCATTCTGAAAAGGACAAACCTTGCTTGGGGGTGGGAAATGTCTTGTTCTTGTGTCATGTTTGAGGTTTTTATAGACTGTTTTGAAGGATATGATAGAGTTAAAAAGATTCACTGTTGATTAATTCTGAGGATGGTGAAGTCAGATTAAGGGAACTCTTTAGCCATTTAACTGAGGAAAAGTCTGTGACCTTTTTCCTTAATTTTGACAGCTGTCTGTTTTCACTAGCATACATCAAGGGAATAGTACCACCCAAAATGGAAATTCTTAGTGTTTTCCCTTGAAGTAAGCTGGAACAACATGTGTGGTTGCCTGCTCCTGAGTCCCATCAACTTGGATTTTTGCATAAGCATCTGTGATCTGGGAAACTTTCCCTACGAAGGCTTTCCCTACAAAGTGTATACTCCTCCAAGTAATCTTCTTTGTCATTTACCTTATGTTCCCCAGGACAGGAAAACCCTCTGTACTCTCCTAGAGGGACAGATCCTCACTATAAAATCAAGATCTTGTAAAATAACCCCGTTTATTTACTTCCCTCTAAATTTTCTTTAAGTGTATGTACATGTTTCTTTTTATTCACCATTAATTAATGTATGTGTTCCAGTTTGACCAAGTTAAAGAAGCTTATTACTCGCAGGTTGCAGATCAGAAAACCATAGTAAGAATGATTCGTGAATGCCAGGTATGGTGGCACACGCACACGCCTTTAGTCCCAGCACTCAAGAGGCAGAGGCAGGTGGATTTCTGTGAGTTCAAGGCCAGCCTGGTCTACATAGTGAGTTCTAGGCTAGCTGGGGCTACAGGGAGACCCTGTCTCAAAAAGACCAAAAAAAAAAGTGAAATAAATAAATTTGAAAAAAAAAAAACAGTTTAGTGAGGGACCCAGCAAGATGGCTCAGCAAGTAAAGGTACCAACTGCCAAGTCTAACAACCTGAATTCAATCTCCAGAACCCACATAGTAGAAGGAAAGCACCAGTTCCTACAATTGTCCTCTGATCTCCATATTTGCAATGGCACACATGCATGCACGCAATAAGTGTAATTTTTTTTTTAAGTTTCATATGAGAATTAGTGAGGCTGTACCCTCTTGGCACAGGCCTGAAATTCCAGCTATTTAGGAGACTCAGCAGGAAGATCACAAGTTCCAAGGCCAGCCTCAGCAACTCAGAGACCCTATCTCTAAAGAAAGAGTAAAACTAGGGCTGGAGGTATAACTCAGTAGTAGAGCACTTGCTCTACTAAAGTAGACTTGGCCCTAGAGTCAACCCCTAGTACAAGGAGAAAAAATTGACATGTTCAAAATCATGTACTTGTGTGGTAGATGAGTCATGTTTAAGATTTAGGTATCTCTTGGTGCTTCCTAAAGCACATTCATTTTGAGAAGAGCCTCTTAGCACTCTAAGACATAGTTAATATTCTTTAAAACCCTTTATTTTTAAATAATTGAGGACTCATGAGTTTTTTAATGGAATGTAACTTTTAATCCAGTTTTTATATTACATATTGCTTTGTGGTGGGAGGAGGAACAGTATATAGTACTATGCAGGGTCTTTTTAGGGGGAGATATATTTTTTACTTTATGTGTCTGAGTGTTTTGCCTGCATGTATGTAAGTGCACCACATGTATGTAATGCTCATTGAGGCCAGAAAGAGGCCAGATCCCTTAGAACTGGAGTTATGGATGGTCGTTAGCCACCGTGTGAGAACTGGGAACTGAACCTGGGTCTTCTGCTAGAGCAGCCAGTGCTCTTAACCCTGAGCCATCTCTCCAGCTCCTGAAGTTTGTTTATGCATAGATTTTTATAAACCCCATTAAAAAAAAAAAAAACACACCCACAAAACAATGTTTCCCCTTGCTGTCCTTGTATAGTTACACCCTCTCCTCAGCCCTGGCAAGCTGTGATTATGTCATTTTGAGAATGTTATAGGAAACAAATCATATGCCACATAACTTTTTGCACGTGTGGTATGCATATATGTGAATGCACGTGTGCACACCTGTGTTTTTATAACAACATTCATGTGGAAGCCTGAGGCTGACTTCGTGATAACTCTCCACCTATTCGTTGAGGCAGGGTCTCTCAGGTGAACCCAGAGCTCATCAGTGCAACTAATCTGGCTAGCCACCTTACTCTGGGGACCCCCCTTCCAAGCACTGGAATTATAAGCAGCCAACCATGCCCACCTACCCTTTATGAAGGTGATGGAGATTCAAACTCTGGTCCTCCTGCTTGCACAGCAGGTGCTTCCACTTAGCCATCTCCCAGCCTCCCATATAACTTTTTGAGATTAGTTTTTGCACTCTCCTTAATACCCTTGCCCTCTATCAGGCTACTAACATGTACCTATTGTTTGCCTTTTTTATACTCACATACTAATCAACTGTATCCATCAAGTGTGGGTTCTTTATTCACTCAGTGAAAGACATTGTCTCCTATATTCTTTAAATTTATTTTGATGTTTGTAGATTCACAAGCAGCTATAAGAAATAATAGAGCCAGGCATGGTAGCTCATGCCTTTAATCCCAGCTCTCGGGAGGCAGAGGCAGGCAGATCTCTGTGAGTTCGAGGCTAGCCTGGTCTACATAGTGAGTTAAAAGGCCAACTGGGGCTACAGGGAGACCCTGTCTCAAAAAAAAAAAAAAAAAAAAAAAAAAAAAAAGAGTGAGCTCTTCCCATAAGCAACCTGAGGAGATCTACAAAAATGATCTCTATTCACTTGATCCAGAAAACAAGCATGGGAAGCAAGAGATTCAGGTCTTCACATGCACTTTAAGAACACTTAGAAGTACTCAGACCATCAAAGGTGTACAGAGCAGAAAAGCCACCAAATATCTAAAATTGACACTTTACAAAAACAATGTGTCATTCTGTATTGCAGTGGTAGAGTTGGTAGATGTGCCTAAGCCACACAGTGGGCCTGAACACAGGATTGGTGACCTAAAAAGAATTGCTGAATTTTTGCTGCACAGGCTTAGAAGTGGAGAGGGTGATGCTGAAGCTAAGGCTATAGATGTGGATTCTGTGATCATTAGGTCTTCACTTCCAGGTGAACAAAGCCCCAGGATATGTTACCCTACAGCAGAGTCCACAGTCAGATTAACCCATATATGAACACCCATGGCACACTGAGATAACCCTTAGGGACAGGGAACAAATTATCCCTAAACTAGAAGAGTATACAGGAGAAAAAGATATCCCTGAAATAATATAAACTTATTATTTAGTCTTTTCCTCTAGTATGCCACAAAGATCTTAATGTTATCATGGACTGCCACCCTGCCCAGTGTTATTGGTATTATAAGAACAAGTCTTACCTAAGTCTTGCTTCTGCCAAGAAGCCTAATGCCAAGATCTGCCTCTTTGATCTGTGATAGAAGAAGGCAAAAGGGGAGAAACACAGTTTGTAGCCACCTGGTATGAGATAAGTATGAGTAACTGCCCCCTGAAGCCCTAGAGGCTGCCTGTATTTGTGCCAATGAGTACATGGGCAAAGGAGGCTGAAGAGATGGCTCAGCAGCTAAAAGCACTGGCTTCTCTTGCAGGGGACCTGGGTTTGGTTCCCAGTACTCACAAGGCAGCTAACAATCATCCATAACTTCAGTTCCAAGGGATCCAACCCCCCCTTCTACGCTCTGTGGGCATTACATGACACAGGTGCACTTACATCCAGGCAGAAAATTCATACACATAAATTAAAAAAGAAAAAAAAAATTAAAAGCATTTTGGCAAAAATAGCTTTCATATTCAAGTAAAGCTCTGTGTTATAGGATGAAGTTCGCAAAATATCACCAACACCACTTTAAGAAAAGTAGCAAGGTAAACTTTAATTTTCAACCGGCCGGGCTGTCTATCTTGGGAGTAGAAGCAGCCCTTATGATTGTTGGGTCAGAGTTTTTATAGGATTACAGAAATATTATTCAAACAAGATGTTTGTGAACCAATCAGGTTTGTACAACATAGCAGAACTTTGAATCTATTAATCAACAACCAACATTATACAGACAAGTGATACAGTCATATAACTTGGCAGTCAACTTCGTAATTTTAAAATTAGTCAACTCCCTAGCCATAACAAGTATAGTAAGAAAGCTGGAATCAGCAGTTACTGGGTGGTCACACAGTAACATGACAACAAGGGTGGTCTTATGCTCTGTGTCAAGGTGACCCAAAATAGCGAGTAGATTACAGAAGTGAAAACAAGCTGGTTAGCCAGATGAAAAATGTCTGGAATTAGCACATTCCATGGTTCATGGCTAGGACAATTTCCCCAGACCCAAGGTTGCCCCCCTTTTCCTTTTGGTGTGGAGCAAAGTTGCTGCTAAAATGGCTCTGAACAAAATGGAGTAACTTAGGTAAGTTTGCTGAGCCAGTTCACTCTACCCTTTTCACATCATCTGCATAATATTATCCTGTGCTGGGGCTAACAGTCTCCAGACAGTTCTATGAGGGAGTCTTTGAGAAACCCCAGGGTACAGTGGTCCAGGTTCACACTGACCAGGTCAACGATGTCCATACCCACCAAGCTGCAGAAGAAGACACATGGTTGAGACCCTGTGCAGGGCTAAGTTGACATTCCCTGGCTACAGAAGATCCATATTTTGAAGAACTAAAACTTCACTAAGATTAATGCAGGTGAATTTGAAGACATGGTAGCTGAAAAATGGCTCATTCCTGATAGCTGTGGGGTCAGATAGCCAGATGTGGTCTCCTAAATAAATGGCAAGCCCTGCACTCCTGAAGACTCACCCAGTGCTGAACCTACCCTAACCCCACCAGTCATGTTCACTAGCTACAAAAAACTTCTGGCCTAGGAATAAATTCAGCATAAATAAGTACAGTTGAAGAAGGCCTCCAGTTCAGCCTCACACCTGCATACATACATGTACACACACCAAAAACAAAAAAATGCAGTAATGGTTGCAGGCAAGATCCTCAAGTAAAGGTCAGGGAAATAACTAAAGCTGAAACTTGAACCATGGAAGGGAACTCTTAGCTCTTTTCTACACATATCTGTGATTTTACTTGTTTTTTACATATATCAGTACTATCTACATAACTGATACTAAAACAGTAGTTTTGTGAATAGCTTAGAGACCTGTTCTAGTTTGTCTCTTCATAGCTGTGACAAAATACTCTGACCACTACCAACTTGGGGCGGAAAGGGTTTATTCAGCTTACATCTTCTGAGTCACAGTTCATCAGGGAGCCCAAGGTAGGAACTCGGGGCAAGAACCTGGAGGCAGGAGCTGGAGCACAGGCCATGGAGGAACACTGCTTACTGACTTGCTCCCCTGGCCCCTGCTCAGCCTGCTTTCTTAGGCAACACAGGCCCACCTGCCCAGAGGTGGCACCACCTACAGTGGGCTGGGCTCTCCCACATCACACAACAATCAAGAAGATGCCCCACAGACATGGCCACAGGCCAGTCCAATGGAGGCAATTCCCCAATTGAGGTTCCCTCAACCCAGGTGTGTCAAGTTGACACTAAAGGTATCCAGCAGAAGACTGACTATTAAAACTTTAAATGATGGGCAGGTATGGTGGTTTGAATGAGAATGTCTCCCATAGGCTCCAAGTATTTGGACATTTTTGTCCCCAGTTGGTGGTGCTGTTTCGGGAGGTCTTAAAGCTGTGGCTATGCTGGAGGAAGCACATCACTGGGGACGGGCTTAGAGAGTTTTTAAGCCTTGCCAGATCTCCAGTTGCTCTCTTGCTTCCTGTGCCTGCTTGAAGATGTAGAGCTTAGCTTCTGCTCCTCCTCCAGCCACCTCTGCCACCATGCTTCCCTGCCATGCTGGACTCACCCCTTTGAAACTGTAAGCTCAAACTTTTCCTTCTGTAAATTGCTTTGGTCAGTGTTTCTATCACGGCAACAGAAGAGTAACTAATAATCTGGTGAGATAGCGCAGCTGGTAAAGGCACCTGACAACCTGAGTTCAATCCCCGGGACCTATTCTGACCTTCATACATGTACCGTGGTACACATGTGTGCACAAACACAAATTCTTTTTTAAAACCTTTGAATAGAGTATCTTGTACTGTTCTTTGGATTTGTTTTATTTTATATGTGTGTATACCTGTTTGAATGTATGTGTGTGTGTGTGTGTGTGTCTGCACGCATGTGAGTGCTCCCAATTTAGCTAGACTAAGCTCCAGGGATCTTCCTGTTTCTACTTCCCCCATGCTGTGCTGCTGCACCTAGTTTTTTTGTGAGTGATCAGAATCAGGTTCTCATGCTTGTGCAGCAACCACTTTACCTACTGAGCCATCTCCCCAGCCCTGTGTGTGTTTTCTATTTTTAGGAGAATCAGGGTTGACCAATGCCTCCTTTTTCATTGTTTTTTTTAAAGGCGGCAGTGTTTGATTTTATTTTCCTTGAGACAGGGTCTCCCTGTAGCCCCTGATCACCTGAAATGCTCTGCTTGCCTTGATCTCACAGAGATCTGCCTGCTTCTGCCTTGCAAATAAGTGCTGAGATTAGAGGTGTGCACCACCACACCCAGCGAGCAATGCCTTTTTTGCCTTTCTTCAAAAATATTTTCACCTTGGGTACTGATAAATCATCCAATCTTTGTGGGAGAATAAAAGGTAAAATTGCCGGGTGTTGCGGTGCACGCCTTTAATCCCAGCACTTGGGAGGCAGAGGCAGGTGGATCTCTGTGAAATCAAGGCCAGCCTGGTCTACATAGTGAGTTCCAGGACAGCTGGGGCTGCAGAGAGACCCTGTCTCAAAAAAGACCCCCAAAATAAAAAAAAAGGAAAATTACAGCAAAATACTGTTAATGATAACTTTCTTAATCTCCCATAATGTCAGTCATACAAAATATATCTACATTAAATTTTCTAGTTGCTGAATGTATTTTGTATATTGACATTTAATTTGGTACTTGTTGGACTAGAAAAAGAAATGATGGTAGAGGAATAGAGTGTTATCAGAAATATCTGATTTTTGCTGGACGTGGTAGTGCACACCTTTAATCCCAGCACTCAGGAGGCAGAGGCAGGTGGATCTCTGTGAGTTCAAGGCCAGCCTGATCTTCATAGCAAATCCAGGCCAGCTGTGGCTACAGGGAGACCATCTCAAAAAGACCAAAAGAGAAATACCTGATTTTCCTGTGTAAAGAGGGAAAAAATGCCTCTAAGTGACTGGCATGAACTGCTGTCCAGTTTTGCTGTGTCTTTGTGCCCTCACCTTCCTCCCATGTCTGTGTACTCCTCAGTAATCCTGAAAGGACCAATCTTACATCTCTACTTAACTAGATTCTTTGTCCTCCTGAAAGATCCATCCTCATCAGACCTAGGAACTGAGGTCAGCAGCTGAAATGCCGGAAGAGACCCCTTACTTGGGTTTCACCAGATGGCCATTAATCCCATGGTTCCTGGCAAAACCTCAGAACAGTGACTCACCTGCAGTCAGAGGCTTTGATATCTGTAGTGTAGATACTCCTTTACCTTGTAGGAGCCACACAGGATGTTGTAGAAGCACAGCACACAGCTTGGCATTGACAAAATTAAAATTCTGAAATCCGTGGTACTTAGTAACATGAACTCTTCGTTTGACTGCTGCAGTCATAGAAGGTCTCTCCCAGTATGTCAGAAGTTATCTTGACCCCAGCATGCTTGGGTACCTCTAGAGCTATTGCCGTCTTCCATGCTAATTTCCCTTCTCCTTTTCCTCTTCACAGCTGTCACTGAAGTGTAGAGCTCCTGAAGTCTCTCAATACATCTACCAGGTCTACGACAGCATTTTGAAAAACTAATAAACTGGTCCAGTATCGTCCAGCCACCCTGTAATCGGTGCAAACCAAGAACTCTTTAACTGGAAGAAATTGTACTGCTGTGTAGAACCTGAGCCCAAACAATACGACACCCACCCAGGTAGTGACCAGTCTGCCCTGTACTGATATTAGAGTTCACCCCGTTGTATAGTTTTAGCTTCCTGTGAACATTTGTAACCACTGCTTCAGTCACTTCCCGCCTCTTGCCACCTACTGCTGCTCTCTGTTCTTACTTGTGGGCGTCTCCATGCTGTGCAATGGCTAGCTTTTTCTACACTCTCTTTTGAGTGTAGCTTGATATTTTGTCATCGAAAGCTCATTTCAAAAGCAGAAAAAGGCAACAAATATTAAAGCAAGGAAAAGTGTCACTGAAACATAAACTGCACTTTATTGTTTTATATTTTTGTACATATAAGAAATTGAGGTAGTATACCAAGTAGAAAGTGTTAAACAACTGATGATCATCAACCAGTCTTAGAGCGGGAGTTGCAGGGAGCACCTGCTCTCAGGGGTTCTCCTGTCTGTGGCAACCCCGTCCCTGGTCATTTGGATTTTCCCTTTTTCCTCCCCGTCCAAATTCCTTTCTTGGCCAAGCCTTTGAATTCCCTTCAGCCCCATGCTGTCATCTCATTTGATGACTCTGTGCTTGGCAATGGTGGTGTTCATTGAATGATGTAGAGTGCTGGGACCCATGTCAGCACCAAAGCTGAGAGAAGTGAGGACTGTCTACATTCCCTTCCGCCGAGCTGATAGTAATTACATTGATAATGAAGTTGAGTAGAGATGAACAGGAACCAAAGTGCCCTAAGACCATTTTCCCTGTTTCTCAGGGCCAGTTCAGATCTAAAATCAGACTTTTAGGGTTGAAGCAGACTTTACTGACTTATCCAACCCTGTTTTTTACAAAGGAGAAAGATTAAAGGGGAAAAGTTCATTATTGCCAAGGCCTCTCAGCTGTTGACTAGCAGAGCTGAGGCTGGCTCCTGAAGCTCCATCAGCTGCTCCCCTGTGGGACTGTCTCATTGCTGTTCTTTTCCTCAAAGCCTTTGCTTTTCCTCCGCCTGCTTTGTGGCTCTTCACATACTCCGTACAAAAGTTTGGTGCCCCATCCATTCATTGGTATCGGGTGGCAGCAGACATCTTTTCAGTTTCCTGACAGTGCATCCAGGTGACAGAGTGAAAGTGGAGCTGACATTTTCCATGTGCTCCTGGAGCCACAGTTCTTGAGACCAACAGGTGGGTGTAGAGAGGACGTGAGCTTAGAGATACTGCAAATTCTCATTATCCCTTCAGCTCTCTGACCTATTCTTCACCCATGTTACTCAAGTTCCAAAGCAAATTATGGTCAACCCATTATATCAAGTAAACCTTGTCATCTTCAAAAGACTGGGGCATGTGAAGTCCCCTCCTTTAATATACCGGGTCTGATTCGTCAAAGAATGCCTCATGCCCAAGACATTATCCTGCTCAGCATTGTTCACACTGTTTGATGTGTGGGTACTTGTTGCAGAACCTGGCACCTGGTATTCAAGGTTCATGACCCAGACAACTCTTCTCAGAATTCACTGCTCAAGTCAAAGGCATGCCAGGGTCCAGAGACCTCATGTTGAACTGAGACCTAGTGCACTGGACTCAGAGGAAGGAATTATAGAAAATTAGAGCAGAAACCAGGGCTTCCCCCTACCCCCCATGATGTGTCTGGAATGACCATTTCCTTCCAGTTGCAAAGTTTGTGGGGCATTGGGCAGTTTCTTAAACCTTAACCTTTAAGAAAATTGCTGGGTGATGGAAAGGAAATATATCTCTCACCACCCCTCAAGCATGCTGGGAATAGGAAACAGAACAGGGTTGTATGTGGGAAGCGGTAGGTTAGTGATAGGTGTGGTGGAAAAGCAAGTTGATAAAGTTCCCTTCTTGGTACTCATTCATGGAGTCAGTTGGATACAAGTAGTGTAAGGGGTTCACACTACAAACACAATGTTCTCATTTCAAAGCAAACTGTAGTTCCAGAAGGAAACGTGTGTCAGGGCAAGCAGAGAGAACACAATTTTATGCCAGGATATGTCCTGCGACCCCTGAAACTGAGGCTTCTCTCCCCCTCTCCACCAGTGATAGATAACAGCTGCTGTTCTCTGCTGGCCTAACTGAGCCAATCTGTGATGGATCCCCACCCTACCCTTCCTTGGGGAGACCACCTCCCATTTCACATCCCAGCCAGAGTTAGGGAGGGACTCTGGGTCATATGAAAGGACCTCTCCTAAAGAGACAGCCTGTTGCCTCTGCCACAGCTTCCCTGTGGGCCCCTTTCAAACTTGACCAGATTGGGGGAGTTTGCCCTGTATCCCCTCTCCTCAGCCTAAGTATGTCTGTGATGCCAAGGGGCATACAGAGGGCAAGGAAAGCAAGCATACCCAGAGCTGAGTGTCTGCCCTCACCCAAGCCTGGTCTGTGTGTCTGTGTTGTGACACTTGCAACACGAGCCAGATATGGAGAGGGTAAAGGTTGCCCTAAGAATTGCTCTTCTGTTCTTACTGGGATCTGTTCTTGGGAAGAGGGCGGTTTGGGGGGGGCGAGGCTTGACCTTGTGTATTCGTCAATAAACTCATTTACACAAAACAAAGTTTGTGGTATGTACTTTGTTCCCAGAACTCTGACACTCCAAACAAAACATGACTGGCCTGGGGAGGAACAGAGCATTTGTAGCCATTCCCTTAAAACATCTTTTAAAAAAATGGCCCTAGCCCTCCCAGGGTTCAGCCAAATGAAATCACAGTTGACTTGGAAAAATTATATATATACACCTCAGGGAGGCTCCTGTTGGCCAAGTCTCAAACCACCACCACTATAGGTGTGAGAGAAACCCATCTGCCCTAACAGGTGTCCTGGAGCACCAGGTAGACTGGCAGTGGCTTTTTCAGATTTGTCCATGCCTGCCAGCACACCCAGTAGCTGAGCTGCTCCACAGTTTCTGATAACCCAGGATGTATCATTTTACACTCAGGTGCAAAAGTTTCTTGGACCTAAGGGCCTGTATGTTTCCCATTGAGTAGGATTGCCACTGCTTAAAGCAAGCTTCCCAAGCAGTAAGACTAATGAATTGCATTTGTCTTGCTGGGGGCACGTGTGTTTTGATGAGCTGACAGCCACTGAAGTCTCCCACAACCTGCAGGTAGGGTAAGAACCTAGAGAGGGACCCCATTGGACAAGTGTTTGCAATTCTTTCACCAGCACAGCACAAAAATGTATAGATAGCAGCACTTAGTAGGTGCTCCAAGTAGTACCTTGTAGTATGTAGACACTGAATGAACTGCCTCTGGCAACTAGGAACCTTTGCTGGGCTGCCAGGAAGTATAGGAGTAACACCTGGAAAGGAAAAAGATCAGGTATCATAGTTGAAGTTGAGGGTCAGAGATCTAAATAGCAGTAGAGCTCTAGCGGGATAAGCTCAAGGGAAGCCCCCAGAGAGACTCAGCTCAGGAGCATGTCACCTGGAGAGCTTGCAGAAATGACAAATGGGGACTAGAAAAATCTACATTAAAAAAAAAAATCCCTAGCAGGCAAGATGGCTCTGTTGGTAAAGGCATCTGTCTGCCAAGCCTGACTACCTGAGTTAGATCCCCAGGACTTACATGGTAGGAGAGAACCAACTCCCAAAAGTTGTCCTCTGACTTATTCATACACTAAATGAATAAAAGCTAATTTTTAAAAAAGTTGAATCCCCGAGGTTAATAATGTTCAGCCAGTTAAGAATCACTGGTTAAGAATTACTTGTGCTTGTTCACCCACACTTGTGTACAGTATTACGTGTGTTCTTGTGGCAGGGGAAAAATGGCAAAACAGTCCGTATCCATGATACCTGCCTTTCCTGTTCCCTTGCCCATCTCATGAATTCATCATGGCCTCCATCCCCTGCTTTGTGTGTGTGTGTGGTCTTTTTGAGACAGGGTCTCCCTGTAGCCCCATCTGACCTGGGATTAAAGGCGTGTGCCACCGTGCCCGGCCCATCCCCTCTTTTTTTAGGGGAGGTGTGGCACCAGTCTGGCTATACTACAGTGGCCTTCACTCCATAGAAGATTCTCTCCTCCCTCGGCTCTCACCACATCCAGCTTTGCTAAGCCACCCCAGACTTAGACCTGACATTGCACTGTTCTCTGCCCTAGGATGGGAACTAAGGAACACTGAGACCTAAGGAATACTGAGACCTCAGGTACATTGTTTCTGTGGACTCCCAGGTCTAGGCCTTCCGCCCTCCTGCCTCATGCATTAATGCTTTTCTTTATTTTGCTTGGACCCAGATTTGTCCCTGCCACCCTCGGCTCTGCAAGAGGCAAGAGAGCCTGTTTATTTTAATACCTGGTATGGCACTGGGAAGATCACACCTCCCCCGTTGTTACCCATTTCTGTCTCCTGAACACTAATCCTAGAATCCCAGCCAGCCCCCAGGCATGGTATTAGCAACAAGGATGTTTCTTGAAAAGTTTCCGAGTTGGCTCCAAACTTGCCTCTCGGTTTCTCGTTTAGCTTTTGCCCTGCCAGTCTTGATGCTGCCAACAAGGGAAAAGGTTCATTTGGGGATTGGTCAGACAGACCTAGATTCTTAGAGAAGTGGCTTTCAAGCACTGTTTTTAGGAACATTGTTTTGGGACAAGACAGCCAACTCTTACGATCCACCCTCCTTTGGGCAGAACCTCAGCACAAGCTAAGAAAGTGTACTGCTCCCTTCCCTGCTGTGTTGGTATTGAAGGGTGAGGTTCAAGATGAGCCTCTGGCTTTCCTTATTGCATTCATGCTCTGTTCACAGCCAGCCTCGGAAATCTCAGTGGGGTTCCTCAGCTCAGATAAAGCAGGGGTGGGCCGAGATGAGCAGGTTCCATCCGGTCTTTGTCTTCTGTCTAGTTCCTTGCCTGGGACTCAGGTGCTGCAGAAGGACAGGGCCCCTTGAACTTTCCCGGCAAAGTATTACTAATGACAGAAGAGAGTAACAGGCCTTTAGGAGTCAATGTTCTTGGCCTAAATTGGCTCCCAGCAAGCCAAAATGAATTAGCTTAAATTCAGGCAAATTTGGCACTTTATGAAGACACTACTAATGTTTGGTTTTAAATAAAAACTGCTTTAAATGACATACACTGAAGGCTAGTATGAGACCCCATAAACTGTAGGGCTTGATTCCCCTCATAAACTACACTAAGGATCTCAGCGCCAAGTAAGAGTGTGAGCCTTACTGGATTTCTTATTTCTAGTTCCCCTCTGACTGAAATGGAACCGTCTCCTGGAGGAATAACAAAGCCTGGGATCCTCAGGCAAGGTAAGAATGATTTTCAGATTCAGTGGAAAGGAGTGTGTCCTGGATGGTTTAATCAAGCTAAGAGGCTGCCAGTGACCCACCCTGAGCCTTGGAGCCAGTAACATCTGATTCCCACCCATCCCCAAAGTGGCGCTCTGAGGGGCCCTGCCCTCCCAAGTGCTGTTCCTGTTTCAGCTAGGACACCAGTCCATCTCAAACCCAAATCCCAGCTCTCTGGGAGCCCACCTAGAATAAATGGAAGTTCTTTGCTGTGGTGCAGTTCAACCTCCCAAGAATAATGTCATGCATCTAAAAAGATGAAAGACCACACACATAGACTCATGCTAGGCATTGTGTAAGGACTTTACACCCCTTGGATCATTCATGTATGCTCTTGTCAGCAACTGTAGGGACAAGAACTCAAATCTGCATTTCAGAGGAAAACAATACAATCTAGAAAGTTCACATTTTCTTGCCTCAGTTACACAGTAAGAGCCAGGGCTGGAGTCAAATACCAGTTTGTCTGAAGGCAGAAACCCAGGCTCTAAACCACCAAGCTTTCTGGACAACAGAGCTAGGAACAGCAACTGGGAAAATGCCCAACAACAACACAGATCTCAGGGAAGGGAAAGTGGGTTCTTCCATAGAGCTGGAGGGCCCCAGTAAAAGTTTTAGAGGATGCTGGTCCCAGCCCCAGTGGGGAAGACTCTTGGGAGATGGCTAAGAGACTCTTCTCCCTAACCTGAGGCATTTAATGCAGTCTGACTGCTGCCCTGCTTCAAAGCCCTTCATTGTTGCTCATCCATCTGGCACAGTACTGAGTCCAAACTCCTAGGAATTTGATCCTGTGATGGTTAATCTTCATTGTCTATTTGACTGGATTTGGAATCACCTAAGAAAAACACACTTCTAGGATAGTCTATGAGGGTGTTTCCAGAGAGGCTTCACTGAGGAGGGAAGACCCACCCTGAATGTGGGTGGCACCATCGCATGGGCTGAATAAAAGGGAAAATGGAAAAAGTAAGCCACCAGCATTTCTCTCTCTACTTCCTGACTGCCCACACGTACCAATCACCTTGCATTCCCACTGCCATGCCTTCCAGCCACAATAAACTATACCCTTAAACCAGCCAGATCTCTGTCACAGCAATAAGGAAAGTAACTACTAATACGGAGCCTTTGAGACCTCATCTTTTTAACAAACGTTTGTGTGTGGGCACGGGCAAGCCATGGCATGGGTGGAGGTCAGAGAACAACTTGCTGGAATCAGTTCTATCCTCCCACCTTATAGGTCCTGGGGATTGAACTCAGGTCTGCAGATTTGGCCACAGGTGCCTTTACCTACTGAGCCATCTTGCAGGCCTTGAGACTTCATTTTAACTCCCTTGAGGGCCTATTCTGAACCCATTTTTCCAGTCTGGTTTTGGTCAGGTCCTGGACTCTGGCTCCTCAAGCCCCTACAATACTAGTTCCAAGCCTGTCACTGACTCCACTAAAGAGTTGCTCCGTTTGCTCTACCACCCCCCCAAACCCCTCAACTTTGTACACAGTACATATAGGGTGTTTCTCCACTTTGGGCCTCCCAGCTGGACTGTGAGCTCCAGGCAGAGCTTTTCAGCAGCTGCCCAGCTAGTGACTCAGCCTTTTGTATGCCACATTTTGCATTTAAGTAAGCGAAGTTACTCAGTCTCCCTCAACCTTAGTGAGCTCATCTGTAAAATGGGAGAAGCAGAATCTACTTCCCAGAATGTTGTGGGATTTAACTTGAGGATTTAGGCAAAGCTCTTACCACACTGGGATGTTAGCTATTGATAAAATGTTGGCGGCAACTGCTTTAGAATAATACTCGAGGGATTGCACCCTCATGCCAGGTAAATGCTAGTGTCTGTCTGAGGGGAGAGGGATCCGCAGCTTTAGAGGAGTGGAGGTCATGCTTTGGCGTGGGATCAGCTTCGCTTGGCGCTAGCCTGGTCTGCCTTTCACTGCGGCAGTGAACTGAGAGTGACCACCCTTTACTCCGTCCTCCAGGGGTGGAAGAAGAACCTGCATGTACAGCACCCAGGGCAGGGCACGCACTGACTGGGCTAGTAAGGGTCAGAAGGACAGAACGTGGGGAGGAGGGGACTAGGAACTGGGGCCCGGGGCGGGGGTTGCGAGGACCTGAGGCCAGCAGTTGGAAATGAAGTCAGAGTCTTGAGGGCCTTTTGCGTCCTGTCTCCCACTCCTCCAGGTTCGAGCTACATTCTCACAGGGACACTGTGGAGGGAGGTGAAGGTAGAGGTTAGGGATTGAGGAACTGGTCCAGCGATGCCCCAGTGAATCCGTCGGGCTCGGGGACCCAGCGGAACCCCCCACCGCGCCCGCCTCCCCCTCCACCGGCGCGAGCGGGCTGCGCGCTCCGCAGGGAGAGCAGCTGA